TTGCCGACGAATCTGAGCTCGGGTGGTCGCGCGAACCACGGAAAAAGCCACCGGTCTTTGGGACGAGGCGTGAATTAAAGGTGGGGGGTTGCAATCTCTTCATGGCCGGGGCCGGGGACGCTGCCGCTGCCAGCCGAAACAGACGGCGGTCCCAGCGCAGGCTGCTATATGCCCTTACTTTTGAGTAAACGGTCCAGAAAGTGGACGGGCGCTTCGCGGATGTTGACTCTCGTTTTCTTTCTGCCCTGTAATCTTAGCCCCCTCCTCACCCACCCCCGTCCTGAGTTCTTAGATTAGGTGGGGATGCTGAATTCGAGAGATTTGGAAAAGGGAAATCTACTCCGTTCCTCGTTTTTAGCCCTAAACTGTCAGTGATCTGGTATTGATTTCGCCTTCAGATCCCTCCAAATTCCAGGAAAAGTGGCATTGATGAGAATCGCAACAACCAACGTGGTGGTGTTCTTTTAAAAATCTTTATATGACTTTGCTTTAAAACAGTCTCAGAGGCCAGAATCAAGGGAACCGCATGGATAAATCCATATAAACTCCAGAGTTAAGCTCCGCGGAGCAGAAACTCATTTGCTTCCCAGGAAGCCGGCTTCTGGATGGCACTGCGCAATCCTTTGACTCCCGTAGGTAAAGCTGCAAAATCAGTTGCAGAAATAAAAGAAACGCTCCACTCCTATCAGCAACTCCGAGGACTAAAAAAAAAAAAATCTGCCCTAGAATTAGTTTGGAAAGAAATAGAAAGAGAGAGGGTGGGGGGAGAGAGAGAGAGCGAGAGCGAGAGCGAGAGCGAGAGCGAGAGCNCCACAATTGATAGGGCTTTCGGTTATGACAGGTAGAGGAAAAAGTACGCCGCACTAGGAGGAGACTCTATGGTGGGGGAACTGAACTTCCGGTCAGCTCCAGAATTGAACAGGGGGCTTCTGGTTAGGACCTTTGTGGCTCCCGGTGTTTTTTTTTTCCTATGGGAAACGGGTCCAAATGGCTCTTTGAGTGTTTAAGTTTGCCGACCCCTGTCCTAATCAAGGAATTACCAGTTCAGACAAACAAAGAGTAAACAACCACCTAAACAACCATCCATAATACTCCCACCAACAATGACAGGGCAAATCAATTGTATATAAACAGAGAATAAACCCCACTCCTATCATCACTGGTGATGTTGCCTAGTTGGGTAATGAAACGTCTTCAAGGAAACACTCCAGCTCAGAGAACATCAAGGACCCCACATTGACACAATTTAGGTAAAATAAGTAACAACACCTGGGGTCTGAAATACTCTTGTATGCATTTTAACTCAGTGTCACAGAACTTTTTCCCCTCTGTTTTTCAGTCCATGGGCCGCTGAACAATTGGCTTCCTATCATCTCTTTGTAAGGGGCGCCGTGGCTCAGCAGCTAAGATGCTGAGCTTGTCCATCAGAAGTTCAATGGTTTGAATCCCTAGCGCCGTGTAACGGAGTGAGCTCCTGTTTCTTGTCCTACCTTCTGCCAACCTAGTAGTTCGAAAGCACGTAAAAATGCAAGTAGAAAAAAATAGGAACCACCTTTGGTGGGAAGGTAACACCATTCCATGCACCTTTGTCATTTAGTCATGCTGGCCACATGACCACGGAGACATCTTCGGGCAGTGCTGGCTCTTTTGCTTTGAAATGGAGATGAGCACCGCCCCCTAGAGTCGGGAATGACTAGCACATATGTCCGAGGGGAACCTTTTTTTACCTTATCCTCTATTTTTCTCTGTTTTACCAAGATTGGCAAATAGTTCTTATTGCCTAGTTTATTCTCTAAAAGGGATTATATAAAATATCTGCATAGGGCCAGATTGGAAACATCTGCTCTGTCAAGAAGATAAGAATTGTTGCCAAGAGAAGAGAAATGTGCAGTTCACAAGTGAAATAACATATCTAGTTATCTTCCTAGAAAGTTCACTACGTCCAGGATTTTAAACTATGTAGAATCATACAATCACAGGTCTGGAAGGGAGCTTGGAGGTCTTCTAGTCCAACCCACTGCCCAAGGCAGAGTCCTTATATCATCCCAGACAAATGATTGTCCAACCTTTTATTCAAAGATGCTCCCGGAATGGAGTGCCCAGAACTTGGGAAGTCAAGGTGTTCCATTGATCAATCGTCCTTTTTTAAAAACATTTTTTTATCTTTTACAAACATATCAGTGTGTCAACAGTGTGATACCTGAGTATCATACAAGAAAATTAGTATTAATGAATCATATGTTTCATTTAACAAGCTTATATAATACCAATAGTAATACACTTCTTTATATTAATTTATAAACTTTCATTGTTTGATTATTATTCAATATTTCAATGTTATTTTTATACCAGTCCCCCTATCTTCATTATTATACCTTTTAATATGGGTAAAATATTATCAATCATATTTGTCACATTTAATAAACATATATAACTAATATTAATACCAACATTTATATTACATTAAGATCTTCCATCATTGCTTATTCAACTTATTATTTGGTCATTCAATAGTTCAATGTATTGTTTTTATATCAATCACCATATTTTACATAATACAACTGAGAAATTATTAATCGCATTTGTTAAATTTAGGATACATATGCATATTCATATTGAATTATCATCTTTCATTTTTTTGTTTAGTCAGTAATTCTATGTATTGTTTTTATGCCAATCCCCATATTATTTGAATTCACTTATTAATACCATCTTTCATAAAATATTATCCATCATATTTATTACATTTAACAAGCTTATATATTTCTAATAATAATGCCCTAATTTATATTAAATTAAGATCTGTTATTATTTGCTTATTCAATTTATAATCCTTCATTTTTTTTTCAATTATTCAATTATTAATCATTCTTACTGGCAGGAAATTCCCCCTTTATTTCCAGGTTGAATTTAACCTCTGGTGAACTTTCACCCATTGCTCCTTGTCTTGCCTTTTGGTGCTTTGGAGAATAATCAACACCCACTTCCCTGTGATAACCCTTCAAGTATTGGGAGGCTGCTATCAGAGCTCTCCTAACCCTCCTCCCTTGTTAGGCTCAACATACCCAGTTCCCTTACAATTAGCCCTCCAGTCCAGGGGTGAAATCCAGCAGGTTCTNAGACAGGGAGGCAGGGAGGCAGGAAGGAAAGAAAGAAAGAGAGAGAGAGAGAGAGAAAGAAAGAAAGAAGACAGGAAGGTAGAAAGGAAGAAAGAAAGAAAGAAAGAAAGAAAGAGGTCTGATTGAATTTAATAAGACTTGCTCCCAGTTCCACTGCATATAAAATTGCAGAAAGAGAGGCACACACCATAGGACACGTGACTAAAGCTGGTACCATCAGGACAATCCGTAGGGAAGTTTATAAAACCAAACTTTTTTAAAAGAAAGAAAGAAAGAAAGAAAGAAAAAGAAAGAAAAGAAAAGAAAGGCATTGCTTTAAATAGTCAGGCAGCTGGTGTCCCACTTAAAGCACGGGGGTAGAAGCCGGGAGACGGTGAATTCTAGTTCTGCTTTAGGGTGGAAGCCAAATGGTGACCTCGGGGTCTTCCCAGCCCTAGAAAGAAGGAAGCAAGGGACGACCCATTTCCACAAGTGGCGTCAAGAAAGAAGCAGAGATCAGCCCAGGCAGTCTCCAGGAGTCAAGAATGACGAAGGGAGGGAAGAAAAAAGGAAGGCTGGATGGATGGAAGGAAGGAAGGAAGGTAGGAAGGAATGATGGATGGATGGATGGATGGAAGAAAAAGGGAGGAAGGAAAAGGATGGGAGGAAGGATGGGAGGATGGAAGAAAAAAGTAAGGAAGCATGGGAGGGAGGGAGGGAGGGAGGAAAAGGAAGGAAGGCAAGAAACAAGGAAGGCAGGGAAGGAGGAAGGACGGAAGAAAAAAGGAAGGGAGGATGGGAGGGAGGGAGAGAGGAAAAGGAAGGGAAGGAGGAAGGAAGGAAGGAAGGAAGGAAGGGAGGATGGTCCTACTCAAATACATTCACGCGTCCTTTAGAGGCACTCTGACCATAGCATGTATAAATACCAATGGGGGGGGGGCTGCGGTTGGGCGAAGGGGCAAATCAATCCAACAGAGTTAAGTCCGATCTTCCTGTTACAACTTCAGGCTATTCGCTGGCCACGGGGCGATTCTAAGAAGTTACGCGCCGGCCCTTTTCCCCAGTCCCCGAAACGCGGCAATCTGGATCTAATTACAGATCTATCTAAACCACCCTCGCTCTTCGAAAGTTACTGTAAGTCCGGCCAAAAAAACGCAGCCCCATCCCCACCCACCCACCCACCAACGTGGGGGAACCAAAACGGAAACGTAGCGTCTGCAGCCGGCCTTCTAAGAACCGTGGCCAGGGAGCAGGTCCTCTCGAAGAGGATGGGGCGTATTTCGGCGACAAGGCGATTAAAAGTGGGCTGCAGGACGCCGATGCGGAGCGGCAAAAGTCTCTGAGAGTGACCAGCTCTCCCTCCCCCCCCCCGCAAAAAAAATCAGATATATTATTATATATATTTAATGCCACCCGATGGAGGACGAAAGTAGCTCTTCTTCTGCCTTCCGAAACGGTCCGTAGAACTCGGAACGGCCGGTTTCCTCGCGAGCGATCCTGTTTATTCGGCTGGTCTCTCGGGAGAGATAAAAGACCCCCCCGGGCTCGGCTATTGGGCGCACCCAGCCCTTTCTCTGGATCGCGCGGGCGGGCGGGCGCAGCGGGCGGACCGAGTTTTTTTCCTCCCCATCAAGTGACTTCACTTCCCAAAATTGGCAGGGGGTGGGGAAAAAAACAGTTTCATCCGGTTACTGTCGCCCTTTCGCTTTGCGCCAAAGCGCCAGGGGAGTCGGGGAGCTTCGGCGGGCCGGACGCGCGTGTTGGAGGGGCGCGCGGGAGAAGAAGACCCCGAAAGAGCCCGCGGGAGGAAGGACGAGGACGCGCCCCGGGCAGGGAGGAAGGCGGGAGGGGTGGGAGAGTCGACGTCGGGAGCGCGCCGCGAGCAAGGCCAGGCTAAGGCGAGTGGCGGGAGCGCGGATCCGACTTTGGGACTCTCGGGCAGGGGCGTCTTTGGAGGGGGTGCCACGCGGAAACCGGGTCAATGTGGGGACCTTGGGGACCCCCGGCTGGAGATCGAGATCGATGGACGGGACTATCAAGGTAAGAGGAGGCGGCGGGGCCGAGACAAGGACGGGGGGGGGGGGGGGGGGGGGGGGGAGAGGAGCTCCGGGGCTCCAGAGAAATGGGGCGGGAAGGGGGATGTGCTATTATTTTGGCGAGGTCGCTGTTGATCGGATTTTCCTTTTAAATCCACCCTTCCTTCCAGTTCTCTGCCTTCTAAAAGTTTCGCTAAAGCTTTGCGCAAAACGCGCTTGGCGAAGTTTTGCAACGGTAACCGCTGGAGAAGAAGGAAAGCGGCGAGGAAGGGGGTGGGTGGGTGGCGACAGAAAGAGCGCAGTTGGGACTGAAGCGAAGCGCAATTCGCTTCTCGCCTGGATGCCAGCCTTGCCTCGCCTCGCCTCGCCTCCGCGCCGTGCCCGAGACGGCCTTCCCGTCGGCTCCGGAGCCGTTGTGCGGCTCGCCCCTGCGCTTCTATTCCCCTGCTCCCTTCTCTCGATCCGGTCCGGGCGGTCCTGTCGAGGGGAGGGAAGAGAACCGGACCGAGCTGTCAGCGGAGCGGACGGAGCTGGTTCCGCGAGCCGTCCGCTCCGCTGACAGCTCGGGAGGAGTTCGGGACACAGCCCAAGTTTTAGCGGTCAAAAAAAGAAAAAAGATTCCAAGACGGGACAAGGGTGGTGGAGGAAAAAGGACGCGTGAAAAGTTTTCGGGACGGCGTGGGGGTGGGGGGAAAAGAATTAAATGAGGTTGGTTAAATAGCCCCCCCCCCTTGTCGGCTTTGGGGGAGATATTTATAAGGACGTTTTCTTCGGAAGGCTGTCAATCAGCGATTTTTTTCTTCCCTGCTTCAAGTCTGCCGGTGGAAAAAGCAGTTTTGTTTCGCGTTTGTTTTCTTTTTTTAAAATGGCAATGTGTATTTTGGGGGAAATCGGCAAGAAAAAAAGGGAGCCGACGTGGAAGGGAGGTTTGTGAAACCCAGGTCCAACAATTGCTTTCTTTTTTTTAATCATTTTAATTTTCATATAAATATTCACAAGTACACCATTACATCTTGACAAACGCTGTTACGTATTATCCAATATTATATCAATTCTTCTCACCATCTACCACAGTAACTCTCATTTGCTCTTCTGCTTTCCATACACCATATTATTCCACAATGACACTGCCTCCTCTCCCTCTCTCCTCTCCCCTACCTCTTTCTTTCCTTCTACCATCCCTCCTCTCCTTTCTCTTCTCTACTTCCCCTTCCTCTCTCCTTCTCCTCTCTCCTCTTTCCTTTCCTTCTCTCTCTCCTTCTCTTTTCCTCACCTCTCCTTTCCCCTCTCCTATCCACTCTCTTCCCCTCCTATTCTCTCCTCTCCACCCTTCCACTCTCTCCTCTTAACTTACACGGTGTGTTTCAGCAATTGTTTTCTTGGGGCACGAAACACCCTCCATCAGCTGAAAAGCGTTTATTATGTTTTTAATCCGTAGCGGCCCGTTTCCAATCTTTTAGACTGCGATCCATCGCCCCTGGAAATCCCGTAGCGCCGCGGATTGCATTTGCCCGAGCCTTGCTTACTTAGGGTTGACAAGGAAGCCGGGTTTTCTCAGTTCCCCGCGGGCTTGGCTTCGCTGGAGGGTTCGTGCAAGGGGAGGCCAAAGCTTGTGGTTTTGTTTCTTTGCGCAAAACCTCTCTTGAGAACACAACCGCAGCAATGCTTTTAATGAAGACGAACAAAGTTGCAAAGAAACTTGGTTCTTTCTTCCTCCCCCCCCCCCACAAAAAAAGTGTTCAGCCCCCTTGTCAAAATGCCTCTGAGGTGCATCCCTCGAGTAATTTAACCTGGGATGAGAGGAAGAGGAGAAAGGAGGAGGAGGAGGAGGA